TTTTTTTGTCCGGACATTGTTTGCACCCCGGGGACCGGTCCGGACTGTCCGGTGTCCGGTGATGTCCGGATCACCGAACAGTCCGGACCGGTCCAGACACTGGTCCGGAAGACAGTCCGGAAGTGTCTGGTGTCCAGGTCCGCGGTTACCATGCTTATTATAATACGTATTAATAAGTTATATAGCCTAATACTAGGCTAATAGGTTGTAATAAATAATAACTTCAAAATTAAAATGACATTGGTGACTGATGACCGCATTGCTGGCAGTGGGAGATGTCACTAAGAGGCTGCTGGAGCAAGTACATACAAGTGGGGAACATCTTCAGCAGTCTGTTCACGAATATGGAAGATGGTACAAGGGAGCACGTTGAGCGTATCGGAAGGCCAGATCTCGATATCGTGAGTTCCTTGGCCAATAGCCATGCTGGACAACACGGGAAAGGTATGCGTCGAAATTGGTTTGATGTGGAGTTTCTGCGCGAGAGACGCGAGAAGTATTACTCTATCATCAAGCAGAGCGAGCCTCACAAGCCCATCTTGGATCACATGCATGTTGTTGGAGTGGGCATGGAGGCAAGGATGAGTGCTGCTGCTAATGAACCTATCTCCTTGATAGAGATAGAAGAGACAATCACTGCAACAGACAAAGGCGGCAAGGTAAGTTTAGGACTCGTTACTTTGCACCGGGGAGGGGGGGGGGGGGGGGGGAGGAGGGAGACGGGGAGAGAAACGAATATATTGTAATCATTCCATTCCTTCTGGGCCTTCACTCCACCCTCATGCCCGCCAAAACCACTTGGGTGATTTCATTCACTTCGTAATTTGGTGCTATAACTTGTAATAATTATTCCTTGGAGGTTTCACGATTGCTGTGTTTGCATGCTGCATGGGATGGAATCTATGCCGTACAGTCGTTATAGCTGTATTTTGGGGCAACATTTGTGCCAATAGACAAAAGAAGTGTGTTTTATGTGCCAATCCCTGCATATGTGCCCCAAAATATAGCTATAACGACTGTGTTTTATGTGCCAATCCCTGCATATGTGGTACTTGTTCGTTCACTTCTTTTGTCTATTGGCACGAATGTGCCGTTGTCATTTATGGAAGCGTAATAGCGTATCCTTACCCCGGATGGAATCTATGCCGTACAGTCATTATAGCTGTATTTTGGGGCAACATTCAGTCTAGATACAGCAATGATGACCATACGTTCTGTTCGGGTGAAGAGGGTAGAGCGGCTGTCTGGGTACGAGTGCAGTTTGGCTATGGTTGGCAAGTTTGCGATGAGCGAAGCACTCGGTGCTTTGCCTACTGTCTTGTACTGCTAGCAAGTCACCTTGCATTGCTGAAAATTCCCTGCACAGATAGCTCGCACAAAATGGAGGTGACTAGATTCATAAGGGAACCACTGCCATCTTCACCCGAATAGAATGCCTGGTCATTGTTGCTGCATCTAGACTGAAAGTTGCCACAAATGCAGCTATATTACTGCTATAATGACCGGGTGTTCTATTCAGGGGAAGACGGTGCCCTCTTCACCCGAATAGAACACCTGGTCATTATCGCTGCATCTAGGCTGAACGTTGCCACAAATACGGCTATAAAGACCGGGTGTTGTATTCGGGGGAAGACTGGCTACAATGCCGTCTCTGGATACAAATCATAGAGGAAGAGAAGTAGGGGGAATAGTAAAGAAGAAGGAAGAAGGGGAACGTGGAAGCAAAGAAAGGAGGAAGGAGAGATAAGAATCAGTGTTGTTGCATAACCCGATGGACGGCGCCCCTTGACTGGTCGGCTGCCGACCAGCCGACTGGTCGGCTGGTCAGCACCTACTGGTCGGGGGTCGTCAACAACCCGCAAAAAAAAAAACAAGAAAAAACAAAAAAAAACGGTCGAGAACCCCCAATAACCCCACCAACACCCCCATACCCGCCCCCAATATCCCCATACACCCCCCCACAACACCCCCAAACCGCCCCCCGACCGGTCGGCCTTACTGGTCGGCTGCAAAACGGTCGGCGGTTGGCAGGCATGCAACCCTGGATAAGATTGACAAAGAAGGAAGAAGAAAGACGATGGAGGAAACCGATTCACACATGTCATTCCCATGAATACCAACGAAGAGTGGGAGGGGGCATGGCAGTAGAGGACGTGCGGGTGGGAAAGCAGGCAAAAAGACAAGAAGCGAAGCAACAATACAAATAACATCCAGGGGCACAGTCACACGAGCAGGTGGGCGGGCGGATAGAAAAGCAAGCAACAGAGCAGGCAGCATGGCAGCCAAGCAAGCGGGCAGACAGAAAGCAGGGCAATGGTCTGGCAGGCAGCAAGGCAACGCAATGCAAGGGGCGCAAGCAGCACCGCAACACACAGCAAGTGGATGTGTAGCCAAGCAGCGCGTAAGCACTGACAAGGCAATCCCCACAGATACAGCACAGACCAGAACAGATCATCACCTATATGCAAACCATGAGTAGAACTCTATAGACTGTAGGTTCACCCGAGCATCAGGATCAGGGAGTCACTCTGACAAATGTCTGTCATCACCACTCAGCACAGGCACCCGGGCATCGCAAATACAACAGGCCCCACAAATAGCACTGTGGCCACTTTTACAACCAGGCACTGACTATTTGGCACATCTTGAAGGTGCTGCACTTAGGCATTGAGGAGGACACAGGAAAAAGCCATGATGGGCACCAAGCAGACAACACAGATGGAGAGGAAGAAAGGAAGTTATCGATCGTGTGATTAAGTTTGTCTGTCTCTGTGTGTGTGTGTGTGTGTGTGTGTGTGTGTGTGTGTGTGTGTGTGTGTGTGTGTGTGTGTGTGTGTGTGTATTGCAGGAATGGGCAGAAGTGCTGAAGAAGAAAGAAGCAAAGGCAGCAGAGAAGGAGGCGGAAGCAAGGGCGAAAGAGACAGCGAAAACAGCTGCCAGGGAGGCAGCAGCAGCAGCACGAGGGCCTGGCATCTGTCTTGTCGAAAATCGGGTACACTTTATAGGCCCTGTCAAATCGCTTATGCGACGTAAGGTACACATCATCAACATTGGAACAACTGCCATTTATTATACTTGGGTCCGGCAACCAGTTAATCAGACAGTGCCAGAAAGCCTGGGAGTAGAGTCCATGCTCACATTTGGCGGTGCAGTGAAGCCTTCTATGCAAAATAGTGGTGTGGGTGTTGCTCCCCCAAGAGGGGCCAGAAAGGGACTCCAATGGGTTGAGACATCATGTTTCTATCTCGTCAATGAGGATGGTGTCATACTTCCCGGTGAAGAGTTCGACTTTGTGTTTCTCTTCAGGTCATCACGCCCCGGAATTTTTCTTGAGGAATGGGAACTACAGACCAACCCCCGCCTGAAGAAGCCGTTGCCTCTCGTGTGTTTGAAAGGGATTGCTTTGGGCGAAGACGTCGCAAGGTAGGCGGCATGGACCACACCCATGGCCTGTGTCTTTGCCCCCCGTAATAAATTTGCTTTCTCATCCACCACTCCTGCTTCGACCCGGTTTCACTGCACTGCCGGTTCATGCCAAGGCCATGTTTTCAATGTACGGCATTGTACGCACATCCACCGCAGGCAGGCCCGTACTTCGCTTAGAGTATGGCCTCCATGTTTAACTTAACTAGTGCAGCAGCAAAATCCGGCCATTGGCAGAGGTGGTTGTCAAGGGGGGGGGGGGGGGGGAAAGGGGGGAAAGGGAAAAAAGGAGTCAATACTACTCTGGGGCGAGGTCCCACTAGCAAAGAGGATTGGATTGAATGCCTGCATGCGAACGTCTTTTGTGAGAAGGTGCAGAAAATCGAGATTGAACTGCTTGTCCGCACCTCTGCTTAAAACACGTCCAGATTCAGGAGCTTAATCCAATCCTCTTTGGTAGTGGGACCTCGCCCCTGGGGAGCTCGTATCGAAATGGAAATGAAAATTATGAAACAGAAAAAAGAAGGGACCACTTGGCCGGGCAGTCCAAAAAAAAAAAAAAAATCATTTTTTAATTTTAGTTTTTATTTTAAATGTGGTAACGAATTTCGATGTGACCCTAAGGCAAAAGTTGTTCAGGTTATTTTTTCTGCATAACATACTTTGTTTTAGGGTTTTTTTTTTTTTTTTTTTTTTTTTTGCTAGGACCTTCCCTGGTCCTTGCACGTCCGGAGCCCGCGGGAAACCAGGGTGGCCCGGGCGGCCATTGCTGGGGTCCTGTGCGCCCGCTCACGCCAAAGTGTATAGATCATGCAACTTCGTCACTCTCAAAGAACTGTAGCCATCACACTTAGACAAGGG